AAGAATAAATAAACTGACCTGTTCGGAAGCCAGAATAAGCTATGTTGGTTTAACATAACAATTGACACTAAAATATAAGTAAGAAACATAATTATATATTTTGGCATTTGAGGTTTCCTGTTCTTGATATGAAGAGCTAAATTCAGTAGTTCTTTAATGTACACCTAATTGTTTGAATCTGTATGTATTGGATTTAATTCCTGATGTGAAAACCATTACAAAGATCTGACAACAACATTCATCTGATGAGTCCTGAAGTAGGACAAAATATGCATCCGGAATTTTACTGCTAACTAAAATTTAAATTTATTAAAGTATTATACATACAATCAAGAAAATTAGATATCAGTTTATCATTTATTCAATAATTTGGTCTCACTTGAAATTGTTAAGGATATTTCATCTGTTAACATAAATGTTTATCTTGAGTAAAAACGACTGATATTATCTTAGTTATTTGAATTCATTTATTGGAATACTTAACAATGTTGAAGATAAAATATTCTACTTCAATAGTTTTGTCTCCTTATCTTTTACACACACACACACTCATTTAATCATATACTGTAGATATGAATTTAATCAACTGGAATGGATAATATAGATAGATAGATAGATAGATGGATGAATAGATTGATTGATTGACTGGTTGACTGATTCATGTATAGTTCATTAGGTTTATTTGTATTACTTAACTATACCAGACAAAAATTTAAAAAAATCTACTCACTAATTATGCTCTATGGAACGAGAAGAGAAATGAAAATCTTAGTTAATAGAAAAATAGCGAGAAAAAAAATGTCAATATTTACGTCGATTTAATTTGTATTTCCAAAAATTATGTATAGATTTAGTAGACATTTTATAAATCTACTTTTATATACTTCAATCATGATTAGATCTGAACATAAACTAACCATTATTCTATCGTATAAATTCTGTGTCTTCTTAGGTCTTCTGTCATACTACAGTGTTTGTTCATGTTATTCCGCTTCAGTGGTCTAGCGGTTAAGCGTTGGCGCGCTCAAGACTGTAAGTCCTGGGTTTGAATCTCGCGAGGCGGGATTGTGGATGTGCACTGTTGAGGAGTGCCACAATAGGATGAAATGGCCGTCCATTGGTTTCAGGTTTTCCATGCTGGTCTAGGTTCAATTGACTCATAAACTTAATTATTAAATTAATAAACAAGTGTTTGTGGTTTGAAATACTTTTAGTAAAATCAAATTAAATCATAAGATGCTTACTATTAAATTTATAGAATGAAAAAAACAAACAAATAAAACAGAATTAAATGAAATCACAAATTTAATATCCGATGATAAACATTTGTAACCGTAATCATTTTATAAGGAGCTTCATAAGAAGGAAAAAAGTTATAGCCTAGTTTTTTGTACTTTTCAATGTTACCTTAACTGATACATAATCAGAAGGGATTTTTTGGATATAGTAGTAATTTCAATGGTTGAGACCATGAGTCAATTAAAGCTAGATCACTGGACGGCCGTTTCGTCCTATTGTGGGACTATTGAACAGTGTGCATCCACGATTCCGCCTAGCGAGATTCAAACCAGTGAGTTCAACTGTATCTGTTATGAAATAGTAACTCACTGATGACAATGGTGGATTAATTGAAGTTAGACATTAACACCGTTGGATAACGACTCGGTAGTCTAGTGATTGATATGTCCTGGGTTGGAGTCTCGTGAGGCGAGATTGTTGATGTTCACTATTGAGGATTCGCACAGTGTGAGAATATGGCCTTCCAGTGCTTCGAGGTTTTCTATGGTGGTCTAGCTTCAATTGACTCATAATCTCAACCATTGAATTTAATACATAATCCTTGATGTTTATCAATTACAAATTGTAATAATCTTCAGAAAACCAGTTTATTTTAAAATATCCAATAGTCGTTTATCAAAATAACATAAATGAATCCAGACAGTAGTGTTCTGAGCTTAACTATTGATCTTGGGACTGAACTGAGTTGAATGGTAACGATTATTTACTTAAAATATTCTCTACATACATACAAAGTCATGATAAAGTGTACAGTTTCATCGTTATTATTTATAAAAATACAGTACTTTGTCTGGAATTGTTATCTGTTTATAAATAAGTAAATTCGCCAACTTTATTAAACCCAAACATAAACTACGAAGATCGTAAAATTTTTAATAATTATGTAATTAACTCGTGTAACTCGTACAAGTTAAACTCAAGCATATAACAGCAATTTCAGCAATCTCGATAGATATGTAGTGTCAGAAAGGGGGGTTTTATGTGGATATTATAGTAATTGAATAGTTGAGTCCATGAGTCAGTTGAAGCTAGATCAACATGGAAAACCTGGTAGCACTAGAAGGACATTTCGTCCTAGTATGATACTCCTCAACAGTACACGTCCACGATCCCGCCAGCTGGACTCGAATCCAGAAGCTATCGATCTAGCGCGTAAGCGCCTAATCTCTATATATGGAGTGAACAATAACTTAAATGAAGACAATCAATTTACTGTGTATTACGAAACTACATAGTTCTTTCATAAAATGTCGAAACCATAAATTAAAATTTTCATTTGCAAATCTTTCATCAATTGCCTCAAATTTTATCGTCTCTTCATTGCTATCACTCTTTGTTTACATTTTCGTTGCATTCAATTAAGTCTTCTTAAGCTTCAACTGTCAGGTATTCCACTTTCGATTCGTGTTACATACTATGTATGTCGAATGACATGTCTAGCATAAACCATAGACATATCTCAAGCACGATTTTAGCAAAATTAGAGCTTATAAAGTACAATTTCTGAATGATGTGAATAAAATAATAACTATTAATGAGTCAATCAAAAATACAGGACAACGTATAAAATTATCATTAAACAAGAATATAATTCTGATATGAACATAATATCAGCTAGACAAGTTAGTAAGTAGCTAAAATTAGTAGCTTGGTGAATGAAGCGTTGGAGTTTAAGCCAAAAAAAAATTAATTGATACGAGTTCCGATGTGCATATCAACGAATGGCTGAAGCTGGTACATCAAGCTGATGAATTCTGAATAAGACTAAATACACGTCCAAGATACTGCTAATAAACAACAATCCGTTCATTTCATAAGATAACGAGAATTAATCATTTTCAAAGAACATTTTTGTATTTTTCATTTCTCATTTTTAAATAATAAAAATCTTTAACCAAAAATTATGGAATTTACAAAAATTACTAAATGAAAATGTATTATTTTTCTGGTTAGCGCTTTTTTAGCGAGTTCGTTTTCTACAGGATGGGGTCGCTAACCACATGCCCAAACCTCCTTCTTTGTCTGGGCTTGGGAACGGCAGTAGCCCAAGGAGTGGGCTCCAGGCAGAGTTGAATGGACATCTATAATCCAGTTAAAATTTCCGAAATGGATTAGTGAAGTTTAATGATTTAATAAAAATTTAATGAAAATAGTAATTATTTTTTAAATGAATGGCTAATCTCATTTAGTAAACTGTTGAAGGATTGAACAAGTGTTTCTGATGAGACTATAATTTATGAATGACCTTCGAGCGACGCCAAAGTGACCTTTACAGTGTCTACTTACTTACAAGGGTTAAAGAGGGTTATAAAAGAGCTTGAAGAATATAGATTATAATTCGCAGCCGATCCCGAAATAACACCAACTAAAATGCCAAGACGATCATTGACCAAATGGGTGAGTAAATTTCGTGCCGAAATCCAAGATCTATTATCTTATAAATTATGGTCTCGCCGTGTTTCTTCCTAATTCAAGATTCGTCAGTCAGAATATGACCGCAACAACTTTTGAATTTCCAACAAGCTTTACAGATAAATATCAATGTGAATAGTAGAATATCATATAAATTAATAAACGTTTGATTTCATTGTAATGATCTAGTAAAAGTGAATTTTGATCTGTCCTTGTTTATATTTACATATTATAAGTAAACATTTTGATCTTGTTTTGAAATATCTATTTATTACACTTATACATTATGATAATTATTGAAATTCAAGATTTACATTTTATCCTATTTAAAAATCATTTGTAGAAGGTACTTACATTTCATTTTCTAATTCTTCAAATGTCAATTGTATTTTCACATTCAGTGAAACAGTACCTTGTTAATCAATGTTTCTCATTATTTCAACAACAACAAAAAAAAACTATTTCAAGAGTTGAAATCATGAGTCCATTGTAACTAGATCATTATGAAAAACCTGAAAACACTGGAAGACTGTTTCATTTTATTATAGAACTCCTCAATTGACTCATGATCTCAACTATTGAAATTACTATAATATCTACAAAACCCCTTCTGATAAAAAAAATCCAACAAACCATACTTTAAATTCATTCACTGACATTTTACAAATATATTCTTCCTCTTTCATATCTCATTATTAACTTGGCGCCTAAAATACTGTGAAACTATTCGATCAAATTTAGACAAACGTTTTGTCATCAGTTATAATAATTTATTTTTTAAAAAAAAGATTAATCCAATTATTTATAGAAATATAAAAATGATTAAAATACAAATGATCATCAACATCAAACACAACCGATGCCAATAATGATAATCGTTATAAATAAAATAGTATAGAGAAATTATTAGTTCATTGGTAAATGGTGAACACCAAAAAAACAAACAAACAAACAACAAAACAAAACAAAACAACCAACCAAACAAATAAACAATCTATTAAACAGTAAAATAGCTATTTCATTCCTTTTATATAAATATACATTTGACAAGTATAGGTTTACAAGCGATAGCTAGACACATACGCACTAGAGAAAAAAAAATTGTTTCAAAGACTTTTAACTTGAATACAACATACAATTGGTTTGTTACCAATGTCTTTCATGATAGAAACACATATACACCTCTATATAGATTCATATAATATATATGTATATGTATATAGTACTTACCTTTCTATAAAATGATATATATATATATATATATATATATAATTATGTATAAATGTGTAGTTATAGATGGTTATGTAAATGAAATTTAAAAAAAATCTGTATCTAGGATAATTCATGTTGAAATGATAAAATAACTGACAGGATATTTATTGTTTACTTTAATTCTATTCTAGTGGCTTCTTTTTGTTTGAAAAAAAAATATCGGTTCTCAATTAATGTTGCATCAACGCCAATGGAATTTAATAACTAATAATAATAATAATAATAATCATCTTATAGATTAATAAAATAATTATCATCATCGTCATCATCCCCATCATCATTACTAGTGCTCAGGGTTATCAATTAGTGAATAATACAATCATTATTAATATACTTATTATGCAATCGAATAAATGTCGAAAATTTATTTTATTATGCGATAATGGATAATTTATTTGGTTAGTTACAATCATAAACTTAACAAATTGTTCCGTGTTTTTTTTTTTTTTCACACGTAAACTGTATCTCTTTATCGGATAAAGAAAATAAAAGGCTTTAACATTATTACATTCACTATTGATGATATTACCCGGAAATAATTTCGATCCAAAAGGAGTCTATGTGTGTGTGTGTATGTGTGTGCGTTTGCTTTATTTTTATTTTTATTTTTTGATCAGTAATTTATGAATGAACTAATGAAATAAAACAATGAACCGATTATATTGGTTAATTATAACCGATTAAATCATAACTTCATGCCATACATTATTTAACACATAGATACATTACACAAACATTATGGATGCTAATAATGCATTGAAATTAGGAAGATTATTTCGTGTGCCTTATGGTGGAGAAGGGGTGGATTTTATAGATCAATTAAATTATCAATTTACAAGTGGTATAATTGTATTATTTATTGTTATGATTGGATTTCGTCAATATGTTGGTAAGTCTATGATATTTCCATTTTTTATTTTTCAACGTTTCTTCATGTGTTAGAAAAGTTTTCTGTTATTCATCCAATTATTAAAATATAGAATATTTATAAAGATTGAAATGATCATGGAATAATATCAACTGTGATATCATTGAAAACCATTGAATATTCTTTGAAGATTTCAATAAATCAATCTTGTATATATATATATATATATATATATATATACACTTTTATATGAATTTAAAAAGTTTATTCTTTTCACAAAATTAAGCAACTTACGATGTAAGTTGTATAAACATTAGTGAGTAGATGATAAATAGGTGCTATGACCTATGATGATTGAGGTTAGCTGTAAAGTTTTCTGTATTCAATAAGTTTGTTGTATCCAGTGTTTTCATTCACTTAGTGATTGAGTACCGAATATTGTGAAGTATTTGAACTTAGCATTTATGCTTTTGTTTAGGTATGGTTAGCAAACAGATACGGGTAACTCCGAATTACATATCAATATGCAATATCTGTACATTAAATAAAAACAAAAAATAATAGAAGTATTCGATAGAGTAAACTTGTTGAACAGGGAAAATGTTACAGATAATCTCAGTCACCTGTAATCTGGGATACAATTAAAAAACTAGATAGTAACTAATAGTTGATATTTATAACGTCACATTTCGAATTCGAAGAAACACGAAAAAAATTAATTATATACGATTCTGATTCAGTTTTTTTAATGTTCGAGTAAGTTTCTAATGAGTTTGTTTAGGTGATACTGAATTGTGCTAAAAAATTACTAGTTAAAATATACAAAAAATTAATCTAATTTAATTTTTTTAATTACTTGATCGTAAAAACGATGCATTTTTCACAGATTCATGTCAGTTCAAATAATGAACATAACCTAAGAGCTTGTTCAATATTCACAAAACCCACATCAACTACATTATAATATCTAGTTACCTAGTAGCATCTGTATATTCTAAGAGTTTTGGTGAGAAACTGTGATATTTAAAGCTCAGAAATGTCCTTAATAAAAAAAACTGTCACCAGTGATATTCACTGTTCGCCAACCTATGTAGAAAATGATGATTGACTCACTGGTTTTAACAGTGACGAGTTTATCGCCATAATCAGGTATGATCATGGATTTGCACAAGTCATTAATTCCATACAAGTGTGAAAAATTTATCCTTTTTCTCTGGTTTTATTGGCACTTCAACTGATTATTTGAACATCATGGGTTAACTTTGCATACTTGTTACATTATGGATCAGGTTCATAATGTTATCATAATTTTTGTTATTGATGACTAAGGTACTTTTAAAAGTTATCAGTTTATCCATGATAGATCCAACTAGGCTTCACTTACTTGCTATTAATCACTGTAAGTGAAATCAATGTAATAATCCATGTATCAAAATATTGTGCTAAGCTAGTATTAGCGTTACAACAAATTTTCACCTGTTTAGATATGCTTTATGTCCTTACGTGGATTTATAAACCTTCGTGTAATGTTTTACGAGATAGAACTGAAATGATTCATGGTGTGATAAGAAACTTGACTAAGTAGACAATTGTTATGAGATAAAGAAACTATTCACATCAACAATCTTATCCACTTGGGTTGTATTTTAAGCATAGACAACAACACTTTTTATCAGAATGAAATGAATCCATTTCATCATTAAGTTAAGTCATATTTAAGAAGTAATTAGAAGCTTTAAAGATAGTCTAAAATCATTTATTGTTATATCCTAATGAATAGAAAAATTCTTGGCGTTTCGTAACCTAATATAAGCAACTTCTTCAGAATAAATAAATCACCATGGAATGTCATAAATGCAATTTTTCTATCCATTGGGACATAATAAAACAAAATATATTTATTATTAAGTTTCTAGCCAATGCTCAATTTATTTGAAACTATATTGATAATTGTGTTCGTTTACAAAATAAGGCACTTTGTTTTCCCATTAGATAAGATACACCAAGGGAATTGTAGCATATGAAAAAACTAGATAATTAAACAATGGAATCTACTTTGATTATTCTCTACTAGTCTTGTTTGGGGTGCCATTGAAAACCAGAAAGCATAGAAGAGCTGTTATGTACTAATATAGAACATTTCAACAACATATTCAAGGGTCTAACTCAGGACCTTCAGGTCGTCTGATGAATATGCACGAAAAACAGTAGACGAAAAATATAATAGTTTTTTTCTTTAGGTTGTACAAACTTTTTCCCTGACCAATGTAATTAAATTAATTAGTTTATATATATTTTTGATGAATCCCTCCCCCTTCGATAGTATTCTTTTCATGTCTAATATATGTAAAACATCTATATATTATGTTGCATTTAGCGTAAATTAGGCAGAAAATCTAAATGATTAGTTTTTCTAATGTAAACCCTGATGTGGAAATTATATATTATGTAACATTATAGTGAGTATTGATCTGATTCAAGAATATTCTCACCTAAAAAAATAACAAAGTAATTGAGTGTAAAAATATTTACCTTTTAAAATAATACAATTTTATTATCATGACCATACATAATCATAAAAGAATTGAATGTAAACGGATGTGAAATTATTTAGCCATTAAAGTATCATTGTTAATGTTGTGCCATATCCAGATAGAACAACTTTTCAGTACATTTTCATAGTGTTAATAAAAATCTAAATTAGTTTACATGCTACTTTGTAATTGAAAATGAACTGAGAACACTCAGGGTTCATTGAAAGCTAAATCATTAAACCATCATACATTTCGTATTTTCCATTTTAAATAATTGCAAATATTGAATGATGCCCATCCAATACGACTTCTATATTCTTATTGTTTTACTTTACCAATCTTAAAATTCAGTTAGAACTTCAAGAATTCATCTGAAAGTAGGTTATACTAATGGTTATGAATTGACTGTTTTGTTTGAATAACAATGGTGAGTTTAACCTCATCACAAAGTGATTGTTTAGTATTCCGTGATTATTAGTCTAGGACCGTTAACAACAAACTTACCACCTACGTACACGGATAAAAGTAATATACGTTTTTTTATTTTAACTAATCCAAAAGACTAAGATAAAGAAATGGTCGAGAATAATATTTTCAGACACAAAAACTGTATTTATTCATTTGGATGGAATTGTATATAAGTGAATAGATTTAGAAGGAAATCACGCTAGTTTGAACTTGATAGGTATCTGTATTTCCCATAAGTATTTCTCTATCAAATGGGTCACTTGTGTCGCTTAGATTATGTCTCTTACAATCGATCGATTGACAATAATATACGTAAATAAGATCATAAACATATCTAGTTATACAAAGAGTGCTACTGGGTTCACAACAGACCACTGAACTTCTAAAAATAACATAGTTATCGAACTTCTTATGAACTATTCATTGATTGTATTTTAAAAAAATAAAATCATCAATGAATAAAAAGTCCAACTAATATATAACAGAAGAAATTTAAAACAACAAATGAAAATCAAGAAGCATTGAATAGGTATGTTGTCATAGTGTAGTGAATAAGAAAACGAGTGGGGACAATCGAATGTATTTGAACACGAAATTACAGAATACCTCACTAAAATTTAAGAACCATATAGTAAATAGTAAATTTGCAAAATATCAATCAATTGTCTCAAACTTGACTGTTCCTTTTGCAAATCTTAGTCAATCGTCTCAGATTTTACTGTTCATGCATTTTAATATAAATTACTTTCCGTTTCTGTTGTAACCTTATTGATCTTCTACTGAAATACATTGTACTCCTGACCGTCGTTATATATTACTCATGTGGATATAAATATATGAGAACAAAAGTGTTGCACTATGCTTTCTGGTTTAAAACAAATTCCTAACTAAAATTAATCAGATATGCAAACTATAAAACTCAACAATGCTCACGAACACCTTTTAATTATAAGGAATATGTTTTTTAATAGTTAAGTCCATGAGTCAATTAAAGTTAGACCACCATAGAAAACCTGGAAGCACTGGACATCTTTTCCGTCCTATTGTGGGACTCCTTAGCAGTGCACATTCACGATCTCGCTTCTCAGAATTTGAACCCAGGATCTGTCAGTCTCGCGTGCGAACGTTTAACATCTAGACCACTGAGTCGAACAGTGTTAATTTCTAACTTCAACTATTCCATCAAATTGAGCCACAGTCCACCATTGTCTTCAGTGAGTTATTATTTCCCAACAGACCTGGTTAAACTCCACTGATCACTGCTTCTCACTAGAACTCTAGGATATATTTATTTAAATATATATATATATATATATATATATATATATATATATATATATATATATATATATATATATATATTAGCAAATTCTTCATTTGACTTGGATGATACAATGGAAAAATCCATTGAAAGTTTCATGTCCCTATTTACTTTCTATAAACATTGATACTACAAGACATAAATGACAAGTGATATTAAAACAGTGTTTATTATCATATGATTACTGATAAAAAGAAACTATATAGGTGAACTATTCTAAAAAAATTCACGTTTCTATTATTTGTAATTTTCAGGTCGATAACGTTTAATTTTCTTATGAGTTAAGCAATGACATTTTGACTGATAATTAGAGGTAGTGTAGTTTATGATACGGAAAGCGTGACATAGACTATAGTAAAGAAGAAAATAGCATGGAGAGCAGAACCACCTCAAAAACGATTGTTTTCGAAGGAGGACGAATGTGGTGTATGCTACTAATGTCGATAGATATAAGTAGTATATATCATCAATCGAAAGTGAAATACATGGCAACAGAAGGTTAAAAAGATCGAATAAAAGAGGATGAGAACACTGAATAATTACTCTGGAAATAAAGGAACCACGAAGTCTGAGAAAATTGATCGACATTTCGCAAATGAAGTCTTTACAGTATGGTTCTCAGATTTCACTAAGATATTTTGTAATTTCGTGTTCAACTACGTTCGATTGTCTGTACTTGTGTTCGCGTTCACTACAAT